AAAAAAAAAAAAAAAAAAAAGAGATACCATAGTTTATATAGCTACTCTTCTACACAGATCATTAGATTTGTTCTAGATTTTTTGGGATGAGATGGCAGAGTTGCTCTTTCCTTAACAGCTGAATTTTCATGGTACAGAACAGATTGGCCCCAAGGAGATGTTGAATGCCTGCCATTTGATGTCCCATTTAAAGTACAAACTGAAATATGATCCTTCCTAGGAAGAGCTCACAATAGAATAGGCAGCCACTTTATTTCACCCATTATGTCAATGCCCTAAAATAGGTGCACATGGAAATACACATTCCTACTGGACTCCTACTCTATCTGCAACAAAACCATGTATTTTCTTGCACTATAATTACTGATGAGCCTCTTTATTTTTATTGCAGTTTTTTTCTTGACCAGGGCCAGGTTTGAACCCTCTACCTCCAGTATATAGGGCTGGCACCCTACTCCTTGAGCCATGGGCACCACCCCTGATGAGCCTCTTTCTTCACAGAGCTATATACTTCTCCCCCGCAGCAGTCGTAATTCCTTCCTCAGGTCCCTGCCATTGTGCCTAGCACAGTGACTGACATATAGTGGTGAGTAATAATGGCATGGTAAGTGAATTACTAATTTGATAGTTGAGCACATCTCTTAATTTTCCTCTTAAAGTACAAATAGCTACGTGTACAATAATGCTATGAGAGATGAAAATTAGCTTTTGAGTATAAGTTAAAAAATGTCTGTACCTACAAATACTATATTCTATTCAACAACTTTAAAAACGTATTCTATCACCTGGGGGGATTTATTCAATATAAATGCCATTTCCAAAGTTGGAGGCCTTCCTTGGCAACTCCAAAACAATAAGAAAGGCTAACTTTGCTGGGATGAACTTGCACTCTTAGTTTTATAAGCCAGACATACCTGGCTTGAATGGACTAACAAGGAATGATGTCCCCAAGTGACATCACAGTTTAAATTTAAGTTTTCCTAAAAGCTGCAATGTACTTTTTAGCTCTTTATTTTTCTGGAGAGGTGTAGGAGTACAGAGCAGACAAAAATCAATGAAATCATTTATAAGCATTCCTATTATCAGAAACCAGACTAATTTTACTAAGTTTTCCCCCAATGAAAATAATGAGGGTCAGTCATATTTAAAAAAGGAAAAACTTGGCCATTGGGGAGGGTCATCTGTAAATCAGCAGTTAATACTATAATGTGTCACATCACTGTAAAACAAAGGTACTGTGTCCTAACTCTGCATGTTGTTTCCCTTGCTCACATTTCTAGCCATGGCAGAAAATGAAGGGAGGAAGGATTAATATTTTTCCATAGTATCAAAGTACTCATGTGCATTTTTATGCCAATGCCTTTGAAGTGAGTAATGTAGTCCTCATCTTATTCTTAGGGAATGTGAGACTCGGATATCATCTCACCAAAGCCAGGACTCAAACCTCTGGGTCTGTCTGATCCTAAAGCACTTTCTCTATGGCCTGTACTTGCAATTATTGAATTTTGTTTTACTGCATAAAAAAGGTAGCTTTAACTTTAAAATACATTTTTACCAGTTAGTCAGTAAGTGTTCATTGAACATTAAATATGCATGAGGCCCTGTTTTAAGAACTGGGGATACTGGCTCAGTGCCCATAGCACAGTGGTTACAGTGCTAGCCACATAACACTGAAGGTGGTGGGCTCGAACCTGGCCCAGGCCAGCTAAAACAACAGCTGAACAACTGCAACAGAAAAGTAGCCGGGCGTTGTGGCGGGCACCTGTAGTCTAGCTACTTGGGAGGCCTGAGGCAAGAGAATCACTTAAGCCCACAGTTTGCAGTTGCTGTGAGGAGCAACACCACCTCACTCTACTGAGGGTAACATAGTGAGACTCTGTCTCAACAACAACAAAAAATAATAAAAATATTGGGTAGCACCTGTGGCTGAAAGGAGTAGGGCGCCAGCCCCATATGCCAGAGGTGGTGGGTTCAAACCCAGCCCCAGCCAAAAACTGCAAAAATAAATAAATAAATAAAAATAAAAATAAAAGTTCTAAATGGGATAAAATAATCTACGTCGTCTTGACATACAGAGAAGGCTTCAGGATTTACAATCAGCACTGTGAGGTTGAAAATTTAATCCATGAGCCAACTTTGCTTCTAAAGATGGTTTACCTGTAATGATAATTTCAAGCCTCTTCTCCTCTTGGTCTCAGGAAATTTATAAGCCACCGACACCAGAGAGGTTGAGGTGGATATAAGGGTATGGCTCCAACAAGAGGTCTGTGGGCGGGGCGGCACCTGTGGCTCAAGGATAGGGCACCAGCCCCATATACCAGGGGTGGCGGGTTCAAGCCCAGCCCTGGCCAAAACTGCAAGTAAAA